TCAAAATACTAAGTCTGTAATTTCATATGAATTAGAAACTCAAATTACCGATATTGACAAGCAAGAATATAAAATAAGGTCTTATCTTTTCTATTTGCCAAGGTATTGCTCATGTAATATACCAAACACAGTGGCACTCCGCCCACCTCTTTCCATTCTTGGAAATGATCTCTTATATACACTTCTATATATGATATGAATAACCAATTGGAAGCCTCCTAGTGGCTCTCTCTCAGCCATTTTAACTGTTTATGGCTTGAAAACTGCACATTACTTTTAATTTGTGGTACAAACTTATGAAATATATGTTACAAAGTACATCTGAATATTATAAGTGGCTTGAAAGTGAACATCTGTGCTACTTTTGTATATGTAATTTTTTGTTTATTCATTGGATTATTTATTGAGTGAATAAATCTTATATATGGATAAAATTAATTAATAAATCTAATGTTAGGTGTCAGTAGGCATTGGTGAAGTAAAAGTTTTAAAGTGTAGTATAAAGAACAGTCTGCTTTCTATTAAAACACAACTTGATGTTTGCTTGAGCTTGTACATCTATTATATTATGTAACTTGTATTACAATGTTTCAATTCCATATTTTGTTTATTGTTGAATATATACTGTTTGTCTGGAGTCATACTTTTACACAATCACACAATTTTTTGAAAACATTGAACTGTTATGCCTGTTAAAGAGCAGTTGTTCAAAATGTTATTTAAAACTTGTTCCTACTTAAACCATGTCATTTAATAATTATTTTGTTATTGCAATGTGCATTATAGAACAACAACCAGAACAGAGCAAAACATTTGTACAGTAAAGATACTTAAATCATAATAGGAAGATATATCATACATATGTTATGAAGAAAAAGTATATATTAGCTATAGGTAATGTCTTCAGCAGGGAAATTAACTACCACAGATCACTGTGTTTATATTTAAAATTTTATGAAGCTATCCTAATTACATAGTAATAAAATGTACCACTTTTAATATATAAAACCATCACACTTTATATCAGCACAATCCAAACACTTTTCCCACTCAGTACTTTCCAGAAAAATCCTTTTTTTAGAAAATGTTAACTTTTTCTAAATTTTTTCAATAAGGTATGAACACTATGATTTGTAATTACTAGAACAAACAGCTGCCCGTAGAGCATTGTTTCTGCTAGTATTTATAAAGGCTGAAGTTAAGATAAAGTTGTGTTTTAACTGAAAGCAGGCTGTTCTTTTTACTACACTAAAATTTATTTCCCCAATGCCTACTGACACCTAACATTATATTTATTCTAACAACAGATAAGTAACTGAATAAACAAAAAATCATGTACACAAAGATAGCTTACACATTCAGTTCCACACCACTTATTTTGATGTTATTGGTCATGGAGTAATTGAAACCAACAGAGACTCTTTGTAACACAGGTTTAATAGTAATGTGCAATTTTCAAGCCATGAATAGAGGAGTGTACTCTCACATTCTTTCTTTGTCTAAAATAAATGTAAGGATTTCACAAATGCTGCTATTATTAAACTGTCATATTCTTTCATTCAATAGCAGTCAACTACGAATTTATGGTAATTAGCTAATGGTGGAATTGATATTACCCAATAGCTTAGTTTGACACAGTTGTCTTTGGAGCATTTTAATGTAAAAAGCTATTCAGAAATGTAGAAATTTATTATTAATGCACAGAATAATAAATGTAGCAATACATGTATATATAAATATGTTTTCAAAATTTTCCCTTCTATTGTAATTTTTATATTCAAGTTTCCTATCTGTATAGATAAAATTTTTCAACATAGGAAACATAGCTGCAGATCTATTGTTTTTGTACATAGGGGGAATGTATTTTGTACATATTTGTTGCATACTTCTAGCTCATTAATTTGGAAATGGTGAAATTGGTGGTGTCAAACTGTAAATTCAACTGTTTACACTTTCTAAAAGAATTTCTGAAGCTAACAAAACCTGAAACTGGGGCTTTTTTTTTCTTGCAATCTACTTGTTCTAGATCTCCTTTTCTTCCTTATGAATTATAAATTTGTAAAATTATTTGTTACATCAGAAGTTTTTTTTTGAACATGACCACAAGTAATTCAACTATATCATGTTTTTTGTTTACTATATGAAAGTTGTAAATGAGTTTTATTCATAAGTGTTGCATAAATTCAAGTATTTGTGCATGTATATTTCTACCAATGGTTAATTGAATTGCATATACATGAATTGTGTACTATGTGGGCTCCATTTCATGGACATCATTGGTCTTTTTTTTTTCAATGCTGAGTTTTGTGTAGTATCACCATTTGCATTTTTGTGGACCTTAACCTGCTCAGCCTAAAAGCTGGTTGCCCAGTGCAGAATATATATAGATGATTTGAGACATTTAACTAAACATTTTTAATTGCTGTTCAAATAGGCTATTTATGTTGCTGGCTTAAAAAAAAAAAGCCCAAAGAAAAGAGGTGTAAATCATTGCTTTTTTGTCTGAGAGGGTTAACTTTTTAAAAGTACTGTAACCTACCATGAGTGTTTTGGTAAGCATCTAGTATGAAGTAGGCTAGGCCTAAATTTTCAGAATAGTCTAATTAATCTAGTAGTCTAAGTTAATTATTTGCTTTTTTGAATTCCAACTAAAATTAGAGGGCCCACTGTATTGCCAAAAGGTGAAAGTGAAGGGGCACACTGATTGTTTCTTTTTTCTTGTTTATTTTGGTAAAGTATTTACTTTGGTAGTTGTATTTTACTTTAATTAATTCTGCATATGGGCTTGGTCATTTTGACTGACCTTGTAACCAAGAAACTCTACGTAATGTAACTGAACGTACAAAGTGTAGTGTCTTCAAATTTGGCAAGCTTTTAGTAAACATTATACATCTGTTGTACACAAACAATTTGGCTTTTAATCAAATATTTTTGCTAAAGATTTGTCTGAATATACAAAGCTTTTACTGAGTCATAGTAAAAAGCAATTTTCATGCTAAGAGTAAAAATATACTTTTTTCATCTTACAGGATTTGTATTTCATTTACAATAACCTCTTTAATGTTTTATATGAACATCCAAAGTTTTTCTGTAAAAACTTTATACCTTCTCTTATTTTATTTACACTAACTGTAGCAAAATCATCAATGTATAGTAAATGAAAATTTAAACATGAAATCAAACTTATTCCAGACAATTACAATTATTTATCCTAAGGGTTTTAGACCTCTTAACTTTTTCATGACTATTTTCATTTAATTGAATTTTATTTTGTCTAATTAGAAATCACATGGTAAAATTAAACAGACAATAATCTGATTTATGCAGTGAAGAATATGATCTTTCTTTTGTTAAAAATGTGTTAAATAGCAATATCAAAGAGAATTACAGACATTTCATAAAGGACAGAAGTATGGGAGGATGTGTATCATTGTGGATTGAACCAATAGTGATATTTCGGCAAAGGAAGAAGATAAGAAGCTGAAAGTTTATGTTATATATTGCCAAAATCTATAGTTGGTGTTCCTAATTGTCTGAACAATCTGAAGCTCTTATAAGGGAAGAAAGAAAATCTTAGAGCAGTCAGATGCCACTGCATCATGTGACTTTGGTGCAGATTGGAAATATAAATATTTCCTCTTGAAATTAAAACCTAGATAATATAGAAATTTCCATTATAAACTAAATTTATTAACACACTTTAATAATAAATTTGTTTAAGTTTTGAATGTAACTGTAAAAAGGTGTCATGCACACTTTTACCCTCCCATGTCCATAGGGTTAAAAACCTCAGCTGGTAATTTAAAATTAATGAATTCTTATAGTGGATTTTGTTGTAGCATGAGTTTAGATATTAGTGGTGATATTTTTGAATCAATTATATATAATTTCTGAAAGGTATACAGAGGTAACTTTATAAATATTTATATTTTAATAATATTTAAGCTACTGGAAAGTTATTTTAAATAGTTACATAGTGCATAATACCATTAAGCCTGTGATTGTATTTTGTGCTATTTGAAAATTTGTATAAGTAAAATAAACAGTTCACAAATTCATGCAAAGACATAAAAATTGGTCTAAATGTTGAATACAGACTTTTATTGGACAGTTACTTATTTTTAAGAATAAGTTAAAATAACAAAAGAGAAATACCAATGAATCTTGAGATGTAATATGTGTAGTTGGTAGAAACAAATGTGTAAAACTGGCTTTTAGAAAGTGTTCTCAGTGTACTGTGTATTACATGGCATAGTATGTAGCTGTCTGTAGTGGTGTATTTCTATAAGGGGTAAATTTACATAAAACAAGTTATAATAATAAGTTAACCCTTTCCAGATGGGTCACGTGTCAAAGGTCATATCATTGCATTTGTTGACTCGCATTCAAAATTTTGTTGAACTACTATTTCATAAATTTATTGTAATTTGTTTGGTATCAAACTGTAGATTATAATTCACATTTTAGTATTATACCTTATTCAATTTCTTAACTTAAAAGTAAATATTAAAAACAACAGTTAAACATCAATTTCTGTGTGTCACATGATATGTTTAATGCAGCACTGGTTCATATTAGATGTTTGTGATGTCGAAATACTAAGTCTGTAGTTATTATTGACAAGGAAGAATGTAAAATAAGAACCTCATATCTTTTCTATTTGCTGAGATATTGCTCATGTACTGAATCAAACTCAGTGGCCCTGCTCACCTCTTTCCAGTTTTGGAAACCGTCCCTTATGTACACTTCAATATATGACATGTGAATAACCAATTGAAAGCTTAGAATGTCCCTCTTGTGGCTTTCTCAGCCATTTTAAAGTGTTAGGACACCATCTCGTTCTTTCAAACCAAGATTTCAAGGAGGTAGGTTGTGTCTTTAGTTTGCTTGAAATTTCATGTGTTTTTGGACCAGAATACAGCTTGGTTACTCAGCTTGATAAATTATAGTAGAATTCTATGGTATTGATGTAGTAATTTTTTATTTTTTGGTTATTCAACTGTGTATATGTATATATGTGTGTGTGTGTGTTATATATATAAAACCTAAAAAAATTATTTCATTTCCCTAGGCAAAATTTTGTTAGACTAAGCAATCTATGTCAAGCAGCAACTGAGTACAAAGGTCATAAATAGAAGATATAATTGTTTGCTTTCCTTCTTTATTTACTGTTTTATGTTTTAAGTAAAATAAGTTTATGAACTTATTTGTAAATAGTATTAATGTATATACATATATAATGTATAATAATTGAAATGTGACTGTATTTTACAAAATACTAGTCTACTAAAACACAGCCAAGACATGTCACTTTGTAAAGACTAAAGGTTAGTTTTATATTGGATACAGTAACATGAGTGCAAATGTGCCACG